CACACTTCAATAGAAAGTACTGCAATTACTAAAAGAATATTCTTTATATACAGAAATTAAAATCTTCTATATTAGTCTATCCTGAATATCTCAGAAAATTGAGTATTATGTTTGTTGCTTTCTACTTGCCTGCTGAGGTAGAGTAAGTACTACCTCAGAAGACAATTGATGGGGAAGGTGGCTTTCCTTCTGAACAGCTGGTTGAATGTCATCTGGTCCTGATAGTGCTTTCTACTCAGTTTTTATTTTGTCCCAAAACCTCTTCTACTGACTCTTGAGGTCAGCATGTTCTCAAGAGTTACACTCTGTGAAAAAATAACCTGTAAAAAGGATTCTAGTGTAGAAACATTGAGCACTTTCATCATAAACACCCTAATAATAAACAATAATCAGCTTTTTTCTTTGCATTGGTTTTTAAGAGTGCTGTTCTTATCCCTCTAGAAGTCTTGCCTGCTGACTAGTTTCTTGCACCTAAAAGAAAACTAGTACTAATTTTATGGCCTGTAGCAAACACCCACAACAGTGTTAGCCTTACTGTGTCACCCTTTTATCTTAACCCATAAGCTCTCAACTTGCCCATCATCCATCCAAGACAGAGCTCAGTACGTTCCAAGTGCTGCCTCACATAGAGGGCAACTTCACCACCGTGCCTTCCTGGTCTGTCTCTCCTAAATAGCGTGTAGCCCTTCATGACAGCATTCCAATCGTGCAAGCTGTCCCACCATGTCTCTGCAATTGCAGTGAGATCAAAGCCCTGTGACAGCACACAGACCTCTGGTTCCTCCTGTTTGTTCCACTGCATGTGTTGATGTACAGGCACTTTACAGAAGTATTTGATTGTGTCAGTATCCCAGGAGGGGTGCAAAGGGATGCCCCATAGTCCTGTCTTGAGGTTATATCTTTGGATGCTTTTATTCCCTCTTAAGTCTTCCTTTGCTCCTTGGGTGATTGCTATAGCTCTCCCCATACCTTATCTCTGTTAAGCTTGGCAATGTCCCCATTCCCTTTCAAATGTAGTTTAAAGCTCCCCCTGCTAACTTCTGAGCTAAGATCCTTTTTACCTTTTGAGTCATTTTACAGAACTCTCCTTCTGGAGCAAAATGTCTTGGTAAACTAGATCTTGGAATAGATCTTACCAAGACAAGACTGGCCTTTCAGCAACCCTCACAGGTGTCCATCAAGTCCTCATGGTGGTGGCAGTTATCTGCAAGTAGGTAATGTGGTTAAATACTGTGTGATGGGAGATGCTGAGACATTTTGGAAGGGAAGTGATACCTCACAAACTCTTGGGAGTTCTTTAGAGATGTACTGACACAAGCTAAGGAGAAAGGTGATCCTGTTTGTGCAATGAATTGGGATTTCTGAAAAGCCTTTACAAAATCAGCTATCAAGGGCTGTTGAGGTAACTAATCTGTTATGTGTCAAAGGGAATGGCTCTCCTGAATTAATTAAAAAATAAAAGAGTGGGGAAAAAGCCTGAAAATGTGACAATTTTTCATACTAGAGGAAGAATGGAAAATTATTTGCTATCTGAATATACAGGTCATTGCAGCAGGGTGCATGGAGTCTAGGCTAACACTGGTACTACTGAAATACTCATGAACTGTCTGGAAAGAAAATGAGGCGAGCTGCAACAAAGCTTGTTTCTGATACAAAGTAATACAAGGTAGTGAAAGCTAAAGGTGATTGTCTAAAGAAGCAGAAGGGTCCTGCAATACTGTATGACTGAGCAGTAAAATAATTGATATGATTCAATATTGATAAATGTAAAGTGCATTTACGATCAAGCAATTTTAACTGTACAAGGATGACAATGGGGTTTAATTTAGCTAGCACTCTGGAAAGATCTTTGAGTCCTCTGCAAATGTCAGGTCGGTGCTTTTAGTAATGTTGAAGGGAAACAGAATGATAAGTTTTGGGAAAGAACTAGAAAATAGAACAGAAGAACTTCACTTTGTAAATCTAATATGACTTTAACAAATATCATATGCAGTTCTAAAAATACTATATGCACTTTACAATTAGAGCATGAAAAGCTATAGCTAGGATGATAAAAGTAGAAAGCTGTTTATATATGAAGTAATAATGAGCAGATAAAGACTTTTCTCTTGGAGAGAGCTATGACTGGAAGCAGTATTAGACTATAGTGCTATGCATATTGGCAATGATTATTCACTCTTGTGAGATAAGTTTTGGGAGACCTAAAAATACGTGACTTAAAAAATGAGAAAAGGCATAATCTTTTCACAAAATTGCATATTCTATTGTGAAAGTCATTGCCATGTTTCATTGTGCAGGTCAAAAAACCAAAGTAACAAGAAGAACAATATACCTCTTTGTTTTGTTGTGTAATGTTCCTAACAGAAATGGCTGGGTCAGGAGGAACACCCTAGGGGACAAGGGCTCTTGCCTTGGAAACAGTTGCTGAGAGGAGCTTCTCCAGGGCCCTGGATGCACAGGGAAGGGAACTGCAGCTTCTGGAGAGCTGTGAGCAGAAAGGAGCAACCAGCCCAGGGCTGAGATGGAGTCAATTTCCCAGGGAGCAGAGGTGAACATACAAAGTTTGTGGCAACTCAGAATGTTATCAAGAAAGATCTGTTCAGTGAAAAGAAAGAGCTTGGAAGAATTAGTAATAAGATTGGGTAATTTCTGTTTTATCTTACTGAATCCTTTGAAGTCTTTTGAGTATGTGCATAGGAGTGTATATTTAAGCAGTTGTTGTTTTCAAGCACTCTGCTTGCTTTATACTGGGGAGCTTGGATAAAAGTTACAGGCACAGCTGCGTTGACATTCCTGTTGATTTAGGATTAAACTTATTGCAGACCTAACAATAGGTAATTGGTACCATCCATGGGCCATATTAAACACAATGGCTCAGAATTCTGGAAGTTTCCATAATTCCCAGTTTGGGAAGTCCCTAAACTGCTGATATGGTGGCTGCCATCAAGAAGTCTTGTGGTCGTACTGTACCGCCGCTATTGCAAATCAAAAAGCCTCCTGGGAGTCTGACGATAATTTTTCTCCCAGTGGAAGATACTTCTTAGTTACTCCATTGTAGGCCCACACTTAGTGATGAAGTGTGTGTCAGCTGACCAATAGGAAAGTGTGGCATTGTCAGGGATTTTTTTACCTTACAAATCTAGTCTTGATGATTTTCTCTTCAGATTCACAATCTACTTCAAGCAGCACAGCAGCTGCCTTCAAACTGGAAAGCATGGGATTAATATGTTTATAAATTACTCATCTTCAGAGCTATGTGAATCCAAGTAGCTGGAGTTTGCCAAGGCTATAGGATCTGTGTCTGCATTCATATAGAAGACACATTTTCCTGAAAGATTTCTTTGTAGTGTGCCGTAATATAGAATCATAGAATAATAAAGATTCTAAGAGACCTTTAAGATGATCGAGTCCAACCATCAATCTAGCACCACCACCATGTTTACCAAAAAACCATACCGTCAACTGCCATATGCACATGTTTTTTGAACACTTCCAACCCTTTCTGTGAAATTTTTTTCCTAATATCCAATCTAAACCTCCCCTGTAGCAACTGGAGGCTATTTCCTTATCCTTTCGGTGGTTACCAGGTCCTGATCAGTCAAGTGTGGTCAGTCCCAGTCGGTCAAAGATGATCAGTCCTGATTTTGGTCCGCTCAGGAAAACAGGAACTGACTGCAGTTATGTCAGTCTCATTAATATCTAATAGTATTGATAACTAAGATGTTGTTTAAACACAGCAGTGCTTACATTACACAGAGGTTGGACTTGATGAGCTCAAGACATCCCTTCCAACCCTAACAATTCAGTGATCCTGTAATTCAACTACTTCCTCCTTCAGTTGCTTCAGAACTTTTCTGGTGAAAACCATCCAGTCCTTGTGACTAACTATCATTCATTTTATCACACTTTCCTGCGTAGTCTCCTTTTTAGTCACTTCAGTTTGAGACAAATCCTCTTGACAGGTCCATCAGACCTTTGCCCATTCTCTTGTGCAACCTCCAACTTAGCTCCCCAAATGAATCACCAACTAATATGACATACCTGGGAAAAGTCAGCATGTAAAAGGCTTTTGTAAAAATAAGTCCTGCCTTGCAGACTGCTCTGAGTGTTGTACCTAAGATCTCCTCAGAGTTGCCTGGGACTTCTACAAGGCCTTTGACAAATGGCCACAGGGCTGATACTGAAACTGGGCAACCACACTCCTTGTGGAAGGTGTCAAATGTTTAGGATTATGGTGAAGGCAAGCAACATTCACTTCTAGCCTAGATCCAGATCAGACTTCAGCCTTTAAATAGCCTTGGTCTACAGGTCGCTCAGGTGCTGGAAATGGTCTGTCTGCGGCAATGTAGAGCTCTACACTGTGAAGCGTAACAGCAACCAAAGTGCTCTCAACCAAATTCAACATTTTGGCTTGATAGCTGGTTTGTTTTGTCCTCACATGTTTTCTTATAAATCTCAAGTGACAATTCTAGGCTGTTCCTTATCTTATATGAAATTTACACATTAGATTAAATGTTAAAGAGACTCTATTGATCTTCAGATAAATGTGGGAATAAAATAACAGCTTATGATTTCAGAGATGTTGTTTTCTGAACCAACTGTATATATTATAGAAGTGTTAAACAGATATTTAGTTACCCAAATTTTCATTCTTTTTTCCTGGGTTATTCTTTTTTGGTCTAATTCTTTGTTGGCTTTATGAAGTCACAGATAATAGCTTTTGCCAACAACCCTTTTCATTGCTGTAAGCATGCAATTGTAGTATGAAATCAAGTAATACTGATTATTTAAAAGACAGATAATTAAGAAAAAGAGACTGATTGCATCATAGTACAATTGAGAATTTTTACTGAATCATATACAGATTTCTGAATATTGCAATAGTTAAAAAAGCATAAAATATATAATAAATATACAATAGATGGGCTTAGACTACAGATACTATTTTATTCTCTTCTGAAAGATTTTTTTAAATCTACAAATTTGCATTGCTTGATTAGCAGAATGCAGAGTGCTCCTGTTGCTTGAAGACTTGCTTGTGCCCAGCGGCAGGAACAGAACAGAATCTCCTGAGGTAGGACCCTTTCTTAGAGTGGGAAATGATGCTTTAAAGAGCTATTCTGCAGAGAATTAACTAATCATATGTATCTTGTGTGACTGTAATGTTTTGAGTTTGGACTGTGTGTTTTGTAAAAGCTAACTAACTAACGAGCCTGATTGTATTTTTGTTGCACTCTGTTGAACTTTTGCTCTAGGCAGCAGCTCTCATTGCATTTAGTAAATCAGGTCTTCTGAGTTGCTGCATCCTTGCCAAGATTTCATTTTCAGATGAGGAGCAATGTTACTATTCTGTTAAAATAGTTTTCTAAAGGGAGCAGTCTGTATATACATCTAAGCAGATCACATCAGTGACAAAGGAACCGGAATTACTGACTCCCTCCTTCCTTTGCTGTTGTAAACTGAAAATTTAAAAAAAAAAAAAATAACCGAACTTTTCAATACCTGCTTAAATAAACCGTCTAATTAGGGGGTCTGAAAGCATGGCCAAGCTAATACAACAAAGATATAAACAGGCACAATTCTTTGTAGTTAAATTTTTCTCATTGATTTTCTTTAAAGTCAAATGGAATATTACCCCATTAGGGTGGATCCATAGTCTGTATTTCATTCTTTAAGTTGCTGTTGCTGCTGAAATTCTGATCAGAAATAAGCACCATTTGTGGAGCAGATGTTCCATCAACCATAAATTCTTGTTTTGATTCAAGAGTGCATAAAGGGAACTCCATACAATTAGTTCTTCCAGCTTGCTAAGGGAGGCAAGACAGAGCTTCTCTTTTGAGATCCATAGGTGTTCCTTTATTTTTTTTTTTCTCCATACTGCTCCCACTATAAGCAATGCCATTCATTGCTCCAGTAAAAAAAGCAATATTCTCACGATAATTTCCCATAGAGTTAATTTTCAAGACAAAGCAGTTTTGAAAGTAGAGCTTTCTTTTTGAGGAATATCCAATGACCAGCTAACAACAGCTAAGTACCTGAACTGAAAATGACTTAACAAATTATTTCTTATAATAAACCAAGCTTTTTACACTGCCCAAGGAATATGGAAGGGCTGTATTGGTCAGACTGTTATGCAAGTTAACAAATCTCTGTTCTTTTTATAAATGACTCATTAGTGTTGATCATGATGATGTAGTGGGGGGTATATACTAAGGCGCTAATTCCAAGGACACTTCTATTTCCTGTGGGAGATGTTAATGGGCATTGGCATGACACAGCAATAAATATTAGGCTTCCACTCAATTTTTGGGTTTGGCTGGCATAGAGTTAAATTTCTTCACAGCAGCTAATATGAGGCTACGTTTTTGATTTGTGAGTGAAAATTGTGTTGATAATACAGTGATATTTCAGCTATTGCTGGGCTTACACTGAGCCAAGGCATTTTCTGCTCCTCACACCATCTGACCAGCGAAGAGGCCAACCAGGACAGCTGACAGTGAAGAGGGACACAGCCAGGACAGCTGACCCAAACTGATCAAGGGATATTCCAGACCTTATCACATCATGCTCAGCGATTAAAAACTGGGTGGAAGTTTGTCAGGACTGCCATTGCTTGGGGACTGGCTGGACATCGATGGGCTGGTGGTGAGCAATTGTTTTTGTTGCATCACTTGTTGTTGTTTGGTTTGGTTTGCTTGCTTTCTCCTCTGGTTTGTGTTTTTGGTTTTTTTGTGGTTTGTTTTTTTTTCTTTTTCAGCAGCTGTGAGGAGCTGAGATTCAGGCCAGGGTTAAACTGTGACACCGTATTAAAATCTTTAGCTTAGGACTAGTATATCACAGCTACCATGATGTGAAATACTCTGGCTTTTTAAATCATTGTTGATTTACTATGCTTACGTGCCATTTTTTGCTTTCTGCCTTTGAGAAGCGATACCTCTCTCTGTAATGACACTATTTCTCTTTAGTTGTAAGTAGTACTGGGACTCTTATTAGCCATGGAGGTATATCATTCTAGTAGGAGATGGATAGCTGACTGTTCAGACTGAAATATAAAACATCCTGAGACTGAGGATCAGTGGTAGCTGGGATAGCACAATAATTGTAGAAGATTGGAAAAAATTCAAGTAATTTTGGAGATCTAACTTAAAAATATAGAGTAAGAGGGAAGTTCTTTACAGTTAGATATGCATATCCTAGGAAGTCATCTCTAGCCCCAAGAGGTTTCATGTCGCTCACACGTCTCAAAGTTAGCCCTTGCAGAGGAGCTTACCTGTCAATGTTATTACAGCATATGATTAACCCACCACCCTTAGCAGCATTTTAACTTGTTCTGTCTGTCTAGCATAACAATAACAACATTGGTGTTTTAAATACCAATGTTAACCAAAGTTGGAGTCAAGAGTCAAAAATCTATGCTGCTGCAAGCTCTCACCTCCTTTGACTTAAGATACTCAGTATTTTGTCTTCTGCTATCTCTAGGAAGAAGCTTTTCAGCCCATTGTGCCACCTGTAGCCTCAGAGGAGAGGTGTGCAATGCTATGTTTGGAAGCTGTACGACACCAAAAATGTAACAGAAGATTGCACCTTGCTTGGAGACTGTATTTATTATGACCATGTAATATAATGGAAATACGTAATGGAAATCCAGGTAAAGTTCTATCAACTGAAAAATGTCTTTCTGACCAGGAATAAAATGATAAAGGGCTTCTCTGATGTCATCTGCAATGTTCAGAAAAAGGCCTTATTATCCAAATACTAATTAAAAAAAGGCTGTCGTATTACCAACCCAGCCTCTGTCACAGTTGTCTGACCATGGCTATTCTAGTTCAGGAATAGGTAGCCTGACCCCTCCTGAAAGCAGAAGCAGTGGAAATGAAGGTGATGCAACTAGCAGGGAGGAAGAGGAGCAACAGCCACCACAGACAGGAAGCTGAACAACCCCTTTGTGAACTTTTTCAGGTTTCCCTCTTGATTTATTGCCTTCTGCTTTCTGAACACACTTTTTTGTTCTGCCTAGATGGCCGGTTCTTCTCCTGATGTTGGACCAGGGCTTTGATTGTACTTTTCTTATACAAAATGAATAACTGTTAAGACATGGCCAGAAAAAACTACCATCTCTCTGCTATCTGAGAATCTGACCACTCATGGCACAACTGAGATTTATCTCTCAGGTGACTTAGTGCTATGAAACAACAAAAGAGCATGTTTATGTTTGACAGTATCCTGAGGGACACAGTGTGTTACTGTCTTTACCTATTCTTCTCTTAAACATCTGCATCCCAAGGATTTTGCAACTCCAAATGAAGAGGTCTGGACTAGTTCCCTCCCTTCGTAGACCTCTGGAGAGGAGCACTGGGTGAAATGACCCACTAGCTGGTAGCTAGGGCTGCCAGACTTGAGGTGAGAAGGTCTTGGTGTATATTATCCCTACTGACTTACGTAGTTTTTTGCAGAGGGAAGGGCAGTGAAAGTAGTGAGTGAAGTGGGGAAGAAGAACTGACCTGCATGTCTGTGTAAGGATGACTTCACTGGTCTTTCCCAACTTCATTTTTCTGAGCAGCTCTGAAACAGAGGAGCTGGTGATGCATCAGGGTTCACTGGGAAAGTGACTTTAGAAATGGACAAAATGTCATCCTGGTGTGACAGGAGTGGCTTGGCATGAATTGCTGTTGGATTGACTGATTATGACAAAGTGACCCACTTAGTAGATGAGGAAAAGCCTGTGGATGCAGTCTATCTGGACTTCAGTAAAGCCTTTGATATGGGCTCCCACAGCATCCTGCTTGCAGCTTGGATGGGTGGATTGGCTAGATGGCCAGGTCCAGAGTGAATGGGCCAAATCCAGTGGGCAGACAGTCACTAGTGGTGTTCCCCAGGACTAAGTTTTGGGGCCAGTCCTATTTAACATCTTTATTGATGATCTGGACGTGGGGATTGAGAGCACCCTCAGTAAATTTGCAAGTGGCACCAAATTGGGTGGGAGTGTTTATCTGCTCAAGAGTAGGAAGGCTCTGCTGAGGGATCTAGACAGACTTGATCACTGGGCTAAGGACAACTCCGTGACATTCAATAAGGCCAAGTGCCGAGTCCTGCGCTTGGGTCACAGCAACTCCATGCAATGATACAGGCTGGGGGAGGAGTGTCTTGAGAGCTGTTCAGCATAAAGGGACTTGGGGGTGCTGGTTGACAGTCGGCTCAATGAGCCAACAGTGTGCCAGTGGCATCTTGGCCTGTATCAAGAATAACGTAGCCAGCAGGACTAAAGATGTGATCATTCCTCTGGAATCAGCACTGGTGAGGCTGCTCCCCAAGTACTGCATTAAGTTCTGGGCCCTGCACTTTAAAAGACATCGAGGTGCTGGAATGTGTCTAAAAGGGTAAGAAGGCTTGTGAAGGGTCTAGAAAACATGTCTCATATGGAACAGCTGAGGGAGTTGGGTTTGTTTAATCTCAAGAAGAGGAGGCTCAGGGGGGACCTCACCACTCTTTATAACTGCATGAAAGGAGGTTATGGTGAGGTGGGGACCAGTCTCTTCTACTGTGCCTGCAGTGAGAGGACTAGAGGAAATGACCTTAAACTGAGAGAGGGGAGATTCAGATTAGATTTTAGGAAAAACATTTTTCACTACTAGGGCATGGGAATAGGTTGCCCAGGGAGGTGATGGAGTCATTATCCCTAGAGGTGTCTAAGAGGCATCTGGATCTGGCACTAGGTGATGTGGTTTAGGGGTTACAGTGGTAGTGCTAAGTTGATGGTTGGACTAGATGATCTTAAAGGTCTCATCTAACCTTGATGTTTCTATGATTATTATGGACTGCCCCTCTAATGTCCAATTATTTAAGGTATCTGCTTCAGACATATGACTCTCTCTCCCCTCACACCAATGAAAGGAAAACCTGGAATTTCCCAGAACTGGTCTCATATCCTGTTCCCAAGGACCCAGCTAATAACTTCGGTTATGGTAAAGAGTGATATGGAGGAAGTATGTGGTCCTGAAAGGTGGGCCTGCAGCCAGATCTTCCTCTTCACCCTAGAAGACGATGTAATTTAGGTGGCTGAAGCAGAAGACAGGCTACCATTCGCACACAGGACATGGAATGCATTTAACTTGAGATGTGGGAACAGAGAGAACCAGAGATGTGATGATGACCTTGCCATCAAAGGTCTGTTGTAATTTTGCACAGCAAGGGCACAACTCTTCGTAGCATAAATTGGTTATGATCAATACAACTTCTGATGTAGTTTCCTATGTTGCTGGTAGCTAGCCTGATGTTCTAGAGTTGGAAAGATTCTGGAAGAAAAATAATATCTTCTGCACCTTTTGTTATTATAGCTTAGCTGCTAGGATCCTTCTGTGAACACTATACTGTTATTCTGCTGTGAATATACTATTTTCCTGAAGAGCAGAAAGTAAAAGTTATTCTTATGTGGACTGAGCACTGCCAACACCATCTGGTTTTGCAGTGGAGGAGGAAGTCCCTCTTTCACTATTTCAGTTCTCCTTGTGATCAGTCGTATGCTCTACATTACATACTACAAGATTTGAGTCAGGGAACATGATTCTTCAAGAAGTTCTTAACCTCTTTAAAGCTTCTATTTTCATTCTGTAGTATGATTCCTAATTTTAGTAAAAGTTCTTTGGAGAACTATAAAATCAGACTGGAAGCAAATTACATGAGAAAGAAGAAACGACAGCACCAGAAGTAAGTATTTTTCTGTCTAAAATTATTTTTTCATCTCTTTCGATTTCCTTTACATGAATGCTACTGGGGTCCTTATTTTATATTACAGTTGTACAGTCATGAAACAGATTGTAGTATGGAATCTTTCAAAAGAAAAATTGGTCGGAATGGTGTATGTAGTGTAAGATACAAGCATTTCATAAATCCAATTCCCTAAAGCACAGCTTCTGTTCCTGGTATTGTTTTTGTAAACATGCTATTCCCATCCCTTCTGCTCTGCTCCTAGTGATTGGAAAGAAAGTGCAACCTAAAATAGTATTATTTTTTAAAGATTTCTCTACTCCATTTTCTCCTACTTACAGTAGAGTTGGTCCACTATGCACTCCCAGAAATGCATCATCATTGATAACTTCCAGGTATTTGTTCTTGTGCAGATAGCTGCAGAAACAAACAAAACACAGTGATATGGAAATAGTTATCCATAGGTTACAGAAGATCTCCAGTTTACTTGCCTAAACAGATTTACAAAATCAATATGTATAAGGGTCATCCTACCCCAATAGCATATTTAAGAATAATCAGTTAGCTCATTTTCTGTGTACCCAAGAAACAAAATAGAGGTTTTCCGTTTTGAAAAGAAATTAATTCTTCAATTATTAAACTTCCTAATTTTTTTTCCTCATTGTCATACACATAATATGGATGTCATACACATACACATGGATGCGCGCTGTATCTTCAGGTACATATGTGTGCTGCTGAGGTGAAATAGTTTTGATTCCTTTTATCAGAATGAGGTATGGGGAATTACATTGTTACAGAATCACAGAATATTCTGAGTTGGAAGGGCCCCACAAGGATCACTGAGTCCAGTTCTTAAGAGAAAGGCCCATACAGGGATGGAACCCACAACCTTGACATTATTAGTGTCATGCTTTAACCAACCAAGCCAACAAATCCCGAACAAACAAGAAAATAATTTCCTCGGTGTTTTGAGTTTGATAAAAGTTTTAAATGCTTTGAAATCTCCATAGTGAAGTGTAGGTTTCCTTATACAGGTCAAAAGTTAAGAGTGAAGTTGTGTTATAAGAAGAGCAAGAGTGAGAGTAAAGAGAGTAACTTCATATTAAAAAAATAATTCTAAATTCTTGGGAAAATCATGAACAATTTCCTGAGTATCGAGCACACGGTTTCCTGACATATGTAAAGCTGCAAATTTCTCCTATCATTCCACGACTGAGGTAAGCAAAGATCATCATTAATTCCCATAACTCTGTAAACTGATGTATAATAAAATGTGGATTCAGGAGGTAGGGAATTTAGAGTTGAATTAAAGGTGCATGATTAAAAAAAAACAAGTAATGCAAGGCTACTGAACACTCAAAAAATTAGCATAACCCAAATGGTACAATCAATGTTAAATTAATTTATGGGGTTTTAGGTTTAAAATTTACTGATCTAGAATGAATCTTGATTTTTTGTTTGTTTGTTTGTTTTTTAGCTGGATTCCTGTTTACCGTGGTCTGAAACTGTCATTTGAGAAACTTACAGATACATGGATTATTATTGCAGGTAATTCAGTTAAGTTCCAAATTGCTTCTGAGGGGCTATGCATTTCTGTCTGAAGAAATGCGTAGTAGAATTTATAGTTTTTGTGAAAAGACTTGGGAGAAATAATTGGCTTCACTGGCTCCACAATTGTAGGTGTACAAAAAAAACGTGCTGCAGAACCACTCAGCTGCTCACACACTCCCCACCTCCCAGTGAAGGGGGAGTAGAGTTGGAAAGAAGGAAAAGCCTGTGTGTTAAGATCAATTTAATAATTGGGAAAAAAATTGTAGTGGAAAGGCAGACAGCAATAAAACCTTGAAAACCTCAAGTGTTTCACGATACCATTGCTCACCACCCGCTGACTGATGCTCAGCCAGGCCCCCAACAGTGCTTGGGCCCTCCCAGCCAAGTACCCCCAGTTCATATGCTGGGCATGATGTTCTTTTGTGTGCTCTTTGGCTGGTTCAGGTCAGCTGTCCTGGACGTGCTTCCTCATGGCTTTGTGTGCACCTGCTCGCTGGCAGAGACTGGGAAACGGAAAAAGCCTTGACTTAAGGTTAGCACTGCACGGCAGCAACTGAAACCACCAGTGTGTTATCAGCATGAGAACAATCTCATACTGTATCCAAAACATAGTACCGTACCAGCTACTAGGAAGAAAATTATTACTATTCCAGCTGAAACGAGGACAAATATACAAATATGTATTAGTTGGGTATTTTTGATACATTAAAAATGTGGGTTTGGAACAATTGTCCAGCTAAAATATACTTCACAAAACACAACAGGCATGTAAATTTCCTTGATGAGGTGATTTCTCCTGGTTATCTAGGAGGGAGAAGGATTTGGAGTTATATGCAGCTGGATCTCCTAAACACACAGACAGGAATATGCTGAATTAGCTGAGCAAAAGGAGACTGAAGATTAGATTGCATCATATACATAATACATACATGTGTGTCTGTTTATACATGGATAATTACACGTGGATACTACTGTGATAATTCTTTCCCTAAGACAGTAATTAAACTCTGGGTGGTGTTTTTACTTAATTCAATCAAATTCTGTCACAATGTTTACAAGAGAAACAACTTGCAAACATGAAACCTAGTCATGCCTTTTAACTTAATTTAGATGGAATTTGAAATCTTATGATGAGATTAAGAATCATTTACCAAATATAGTAGTCCCTGGAGGAGGATGGAGAAGCATCTAGCCCCTTTGGCTGAGGGGAATGAAGACAAGAAGCAGGAGGACACAACAGTCCAAGTGTTTTGTTTCTGTACTACGATGAGAAAGAACCTCTGAGAGAAGGTTGAACCAAGGCAGCAAAAGGGATGGTACAGTTGCAGGACCACACTTTGGGGCAGAAATGCAATCAACCCATTAAGAAGGAGAACACAGAAAGTTGTCAAGGGAGGTTTTAGAGGAACATGTCTGTTTTCCTTGATGAAATAATGGCAAAATGATCAATCCTGTAAAGGCTCTGAAGGACTAAGGTGCTTAGGCAGGAAAAACTTGTAGCACTTTTGACTATTCCATTTATAAATTTTATCATTTTTCGTCCCAGTGGTTAGGGTAAAGTGTAATTGTCCCAGTAGCAAACCACAGATGAAAGCATGAGGCTGCAGTTTGGGAGAGCAACAGGGCCCACAGACTGCATTATTACAGGTAGCTCAGGTCCAGGAGAAGCAGGAGGAGGAACTCACAGAGACAAAAGCATGGCAACAGTGGATGACCCAGACCCAATAAACCACAAGCTTCGGGATTACTTGACATTTTACCAGCAACGGGACAGGGCTGGTGGAGGCTTTTTAAGGCAAGAATGAATTAAAAGATGGCTGCAGATGATGACCGTGAAACATTGCTCAGGAGAAAACAATGTGGTCCTCAGTCCAACTAAAGGACAGAAACTTTGCAAGAAACGCAGACAGGCTGCATTATGGAGGTAATGTTTCACAGGGTAGAGTAATTTCATAAGATTTCAGAGTGCAGTTGGCACAGAAATTATAAGATCACCAGATCTTTTAAAGAAATTAACTAAAATAAAAGGAGAAAGAATATGATTCTATCTGTGCAAGTAGTAATGCCTCAGGCAGGGAGGGATGTTTGGTACTTTGTTATAAACATTTACAAATGAGCTGGTGATGTAACTAGGAAGGCAAAAATGCAACAGAAAGGTGGTCACAATAAATTTAAGAGAGTGTCCATGAAGTTCAGAGAATCACAGAATATTCTGAGTTGGAAGGGACCTACAGGGATCGTCAAAGTCCAACTTCTGGCTGTGCACAGGATAGCCCCAAGAGTCAAACCATGTGCCTGAGAGTGTATTCTCCAAACACTTCTTGAACTATGTCAGGTTTGGTGCTGTGACCACTTCCCTGGGGTGCCTTTTCCAGTGCCCAACCACCCTCTGGGTGAATAACCTCTTTCTAATATCCATTTTAAACCTCTCCTGACAGAGCTTCAAGCCATTCCCTGGAGTCCTGTCACTGGTCACCAGAGAGATCAGTGCCTGCCCCTCCTCTTCCTCTCACAACGAAGTTGTAACTGCAGTGAGATCTCCCTTCAGTCTCCTACAGGCTGAACAGACCAAGTGACCTCAGGTGCTCCTCCAGAGGCTTCCCTTCTAGACCCATCACCATCTTTATAGCCCTTTGTAGCTCTCTAATAGCTTTATATCCTTCTTCTGTTTTGTTGCCCAAAATTGCACATGGTACTCAGGATGAGGCCACAGGAGAGCAGAGCAGGACAGTCACCTTGACCAGCTGGCAAGCCAGGGTGTGGAAAAAATCAAGTTAAGATTCTAATCTCTCCTGGTTGAAGTCATTGGCAATTTTTTCATAACATTCACTGAATATAAGTTTATATTGATCACCATAGCGAGAAATGAGAAGTAAATGCACTTCATCTGTGTTACACAACAGAAAGTCTTAAGGAGCCAAATCAGAATAATGCTTCTGGCATGTTATTCATTGGACATTGCCCATGACTTAAGCCTTGTTTCTTGCAGAGGAAAATAGTTTACATCACCTTCTGAGCTATTGTTGTTTGAAAGAAGCTTTTATTCTTTAGAAATATATGGCACTCTAGTATTGCCTGGTGTTTGTATTTTCTGAGAACTGACTTTCTTATTCTGAAAATGGCACACTTTTGTTGTGAACATTTCCTTCAGTGTACTAATTTCATCATGATTTTATCTGCAAAACAAATACAAAAATTAAAATCAGAGCAAGAGTTAAGAATTAATCCAAGATTTCAACATCTAGGTTGTAGTTTTGAAGGACACAAAAACCTGCTTGACCTAAAAAAACCTATCTGCTTTAGTAACTAGATACTATTATACAACCAGATAATTGCTTGTCCAATCTTGAAATATTTTCCCCTGATATTTGAGCACCATAGTAAGTAATAAACCTGAAATATAATAGTCTACCTACACAAAAAAACCCTTCAAACTTACAAATAGAAACAGCTAGAGCCTTTGGGAAGTTCATAACCATGTGTTACTAAGGAGGGGCTTCAGTGTTAGCTGCCAGTTTCCGCATCGATGAGTCAGGCCCATCAGAATGTACAATTTCCTGATACTAATTGATTTCAGTTGTTTAAGCTCTTTTATTTTGATAGGTACTGCTTTTAAATGGAAAGAATAAGACTTTGGTAGATATTAGTTTGAGAAAGAAAGCTTATGTAGAGCCAGTATTGTTCCTTCTGAGTCTGCCTTTAATCCTGTCATTAGTGATAGTTAAATGATATAGAATGTTACTTAAAAATGCTGCAGAAGAGAAAACCATAACAGTGGTGTCCACGTCTAAACAAATGTTTGAAGTCTTAGAAATCACATAGTTGATGTGTAATATCTAGCCTCAGTGGGGACACTAGAATAATAGTTGTTTTGGAGAGTTGTGGATGCCAATCAGATAGACATGGATACCCCAGAGCAAAGTATGCCAGAAGTCTTAGTGCTGAATCTGGAGTAGGAGATGCTGATGGTTTCATGGTGCTGTAAGTAAATGAAGGCTTTTTTCCCCTTTTTTAAATCCAATCGTATTAGTAAGCTAAGCATACCAGTGACTAATACAGAGTCTCTATGGGCTCAAGATCCAGGGGCAAGTGGGAAGAATATTGTGTTAAGTTTCAGCCCCACCAGAAAACAACATGACTGCAGTGTGCTGAGCAGGACCTTCTGAGAGCATGAAACACTAACAGGACACTTCAAGTGCTATGTAAAACCGGACAATGTCATATCAGGGCATGACAGAGATACTGAGTATTCAGACATTACCAGTGCATGTTTCATAAAGCAATAGAGTCCTCATGAGGAAAAGCAGCCTTTGATTTCATCTTGAGTGGCACACATGCTCTGTTTCAAAATGTTAGTGCCTCAAGTCTCTTTTAGAACAACCGCCAGGTACTGACAGTTAGCAACTCTCTATGGCCAAAAAAGCTGAAGAGGCAAATACAGCTGTAGTCTCCAAAAAGAAGAAATAAATATATATGACAAAACTTCTTTAAAAATAAACAAAAGTATGAAAGTTACGTTATTGAAAGCATTCTGGGAGCTCTTTAAGGATACTATTTTGGATATGCAGAGTAAACATGAAAAGCAAGAGCTGGCAAAACAAAAACAAGATCTTGAATATTCAAAGTATTCAGAATCTTCAACTGAGATGAAAAACTGAAAAATACTGAAAA